CACTTAGAAGGTCCGAAAGAGGGCACATACATAGAGTCAGATCAAACAGGACAATGATCAAATATCTTCGCGTTAAACAGGCCAAGTCAAAATTAGTTATCACTAAGGACAAGGAAACATTCGGAAGTCCCTCGATAAGGAGGCTTAATCAGTGGTAGCAATAACCTGCTGGTAAAAGAGGATCCTTTTTGGAATGTATGACTTATCGGTTTAATAACACAAATTTGAGGCGGATGGCTAGCCCAAGATCGGGACGGAAAAGATCCAGAACCGTTACGGACGGGTTGATAATATGGAGTGTGGGAAAGAGTGGAGGACATTGTTTTCTTTTATTATCTTCACCGTTTCGATGTTCCTCAAGCCAACTTGTATTGTTCCACTCTCACAGGTGTAATCCCCTTCAAATATTTATTTCTTTGTCCGTCTCTTTGATTTTTGTGGCTTTTAACTCTCCATCATTAAGTTTTTGTTCTTTCATGTTTCAACTCTCCCTGTGCCTTTTAAGTTTGCACCACAATCGTCGTACTGACGAGGTCTAGTTGCGATGGAGGGCGAAGATATCCTCGGAATTATAAATATACCGTCACATCTTATTTCATCATTTTCTTAACTTCTTAACTTCTTCAGCCTTCTTCTCTTCATTATTCTTTCTTTCCATTTGGGTTCTGCCGTAGCATCTCACATGTATTTAAGGGGCCGGAGCAGTTCCGCTGTTTTACTTCCACTACAAATTTACTTTTATTGCTGTGCTCACCAATAACCAATTCACGAATATCTTTTTCGCTTAACTTTCCTTTTCCCCCTCATTTCAACCAATTCTAATTAAAATTCAGTTTAATGCTTTTCCAAGAATATCTGAGAAGCAAAATAGCAGTGGTTTGTTTGTTTTTCAGGCATGTCAGTACCACTTTTCCGGAAACAATTTAACAAATTTTGAACAACTTGTCACGTGCATTAAAAAAAAAAAAGAGGAAAAATTTGGTTTCATGTAAAACAACATACAACTGTGAGCTTTTTGGCCCTATCGACATCAAGTTTCTTTTTCTTCAACAACAACAACATCACTAGAATTATCATCATCCTCATTTTCCTCATCCCCATCATCATCCCCACCTCCCTCCTCATCATCCACCTCTTCCTCCTCTCCCTCCACCTCCTCCACCTCCTCATCATCATCATCATCATCATCGGAGAATTCTTCCGTGTGCAGTCCAATCAATGAGAAAGTTATAACGTAATAATATTGACCTTCTGCTGCACTGTTCACATATTTGAGAAATGGACATACATCCGGATGACAGATCACCAAAGCGGCGCTGTTATCAATCGGTGAAACTCTGTCTGCCTAAAAAAATGTATTACAACATCCTTAATGATCCAAAAAAGATGTGGATTTTTCGAATCCACACTTCTTGCTTAGCAATATCCTGATACGATCAGATCCCTAAGTGTACCTTCGTGTCATTAATACAGCTCATAACCTTTCTACGAACACCTGCGATGTACAATAAGTGCGATTGAGCTTCCAGCTTCCTTATTTTTTGTGGGAAAAAAAAGTATTGCGTCAAAATTCTTTCACTGCGTGTACCTTTTAATTCAATATTACTTCGTTAAGCTTCTCTAAGTATCGGAAAGAGTAGCATTACAGCTGACAAAGTGCGGCGACATAATAAATGAAATAAAATGGGGGTTGGAAGAGAAAAGAGGAATCGAATAGTGGAATATGTTCATTTAATATTCTGAAAAGAAGCCAAATTTTATAATCTCATTTAAGCTAACCGCTACTTGCATTGGGTGACGTCTGTGTTTTATCCCTGAACTGTAAACACTGTCGACTAAACTGGTGCGAAATGGGGTGGGAATCATCAGTACCGTGCCCCATTTCGCTATGTAATTGAGGACATGTAAAATAGTTTAGAAGAGAAGAACAGAATGCCATCATACACAGA